GAAACCATAAGATATAAAATTTAGACGTGACCTTAATATAGCACAACATGTTGAACACTGACATACTGAAGGAAACATCCAGTTCGAATGTTTGGAGTTTGGAAACTGAAAATCAACTGTAACAATGTCAGAGTTTATTACAGTGTTTACAAGTAGGTTGTAAGTTGTAACAGTTCACATAGTGAATAGAACGGCAAACTATTAAAGCAATATTGTAATGTCTGTGATGCAATTTTTATTACAATTATTATTGACATTAATTGTGATGCTTAATATTAATTATTGCTTATAGTAAACCTAGCCAAATACTTTTCTCTAAAGATGATGACTAAGGCTCAAAATACTAAATCTAAATATCTGTTAAATTAGCAATGCTGATGCTGGCAGATCTAAATCTGAACCCTTTCTTCCATAAATCTGCATTCGGGGCCAGCAATTTTTTTTTTTTTTTTTTTTGCAAGTAAAACAACATAGTTGTGGTCATGATGACTCATTCAGCAGAAATACTGTTAGGACATGTAGGCCAGTAAATATCCTCAAGATCCAAATATTCAAGCAAAGGCCAAACTTTTCTCGCATTTCCTGTAGTCAGCACAACTTTATAACCAAATAAATTCCAATCTGTTGTTTTACCACCAACATAGCCACAAAGGTCCCACTGGGAACATTCTTGAAATATATGTTGATTTTGATCTCTGTATTTTTGACTGGCTTCCCGACTCCTTCCTGACAAATATTCCTTGCTGTACAAAAATGGTTTCTTTTTAAAATAATTTTAGTAAGCACCCTCACTCGGACTCTCACGCTAATACAAACTGAATAACTGGTCTTTTTTTTTTCTTAAAACGGGTTAGAGTGACTGGCAATCAGTGGGGAGCATTTGCTCAGCACTGTCTGAAGTAAACACACCTGTAAGTAATGTTTTTCTGTCCCCACTTGGGCTTCCTGTGAAAGAAATTGTAATTGGCCACATCAGGAACTCCACATCGTGGTTTCTTCATGATCTCTACTGTCTTCTGATCAATATCCCCTGTCTCTGGTAAAGCAAAAAACTTCTGCATCTTCTTTAGTGTGTCCTTCAACACCATCAGATTACACCTGTCTTTTGGGCAGCCATAGAACTTATTTAAGTAGTGCTGTGAAAAGGTTGGAGGATACAATGAGAGAGAGAGAGAGAGAGAGAGAGAGAGAGAGAGAGAGAGGGAGAGAGAGAGAGACAGAGAGAGAGAGAGAGAGTCAACTTAACCACATTCCATATTTTCCAACTACCATGTCAACCTTCTTGTATTTTAAATTTTCCACGTATTTCCAACAGTAAAACATTCTGCATTTAAAATAATAAAATTGTGTTAATATTGGTAAAGTTCTATGGGAGAATCACAAAAATATATACATATATATATATATTAATATAATATTTCAATTCTAAATCAAATTGTATAGGCCTGTCCGTAACAAGTAATAAACTGCAGCTACTGCTAACGAAATTCTAACTGTGCAACAAAAGTACACTCACCAGAGCCACTTCTTTGTCTGTGTGAGAAGTATCATCGCCTGGGAACTTTATGATGGGTGAGGGCGCAGCAAAAGTTTGCAGGGAAGCAAGAAACTGCACGAGGAAAACTTTAAGGACAACATGTCTACAGCTGAAAAACCTAAAGCACGTCATTTTGGTCCGCTTCCTTTGTGTCTTTTTGTTGAAAATAAGGTGGAGAACAGACCTTTGCGACGTGTTCTCCAAGCTCAAAGTTTCTCCGACTGCACTGCAAATTTTCTTTCTTTTCCTCAGCGACACATCCTGCTTTTGTGGTCTGTGGAATAGCTTCTGCTTGCACACGCACTTTTCTGATGCTGGAGCTTGAGCTGGGACTGCGCAGCCTCTTGAACCAAGAATTTGGGAGAGCAGTGAAATAGGAGACGTCAGCGAGAAGCGAGCAGAGATGTGTGTGTGCGCGCAGGCTGGAAACACTCATAGAGCGGCTTGAAAGTTGAAGATTTAGGTTTAAGTTTGACCATTTGATTTTAAACACTTCAAATTGGGTTATTAACCCTGAAATACATCGTTTACATTTTAACCAGGGTTAACAATATTAACCCTTTGTTATTCTGAAGTTTACCGTTATGGCTACGTTATGGTCAACGTTGGACGTTGTCGCGATAGGGCCACAGTTTTAATGACAAAGAGTTATATTTTATTTAATTTATTTAATAATTTAATTAATAATGTATTTATAATAATTTATTTTATTTATTTAATAATTTATTTAAATATTTCATATAATAATGGTAGGCTAATAATAATACACTATTTAGGGCGCGGCGTCCATACAGAAAGCCATTTACGACTACATTCACTGCAAATGTTTCTTGAGCAGCAAATCTGGTTCAGAGAAGTCTGGAGTAGCCCAATGAAGCAAAAAAATCCATCACAGCAATAAATTACCTTTTACAATAAACTCAGACAGAAAACATCTATTTTAAATTGTAATCACAATATTACAGTTTTAATGTATTTTTGATTAGGCTAAGTAAATGTAGTCTTTGGTGAGCAGAAGACTTCTTTCAAAAACAGTAATGTTTCCAAACTTTTGATAGGTTCCGTATATTTTCTTCTGTATTCTATGATATTTTTTATGTTGTATAAAATCTATGAGGACTTTATGCACAAGAGTTTGTAGTACAAACCAATTACTAAAATCGTAACAATATATTAAAAAAATATAGTTTATAATGGTCATTGTTCAGCAGTGTATTAGATGTTATTATTATTATTATTTTTAACAAAATTAAAATCAAGATGAGATAAAATAAAACCACTTCTTATCGGTTTGGTGAAATCTCACAGTCTGTACCAAGAGTTAGCTATTTACGATAACAGACACAACCTCATCATGGATGTGACAAAATTGAGTGGTGAAGAAAAAGGAGGGACTAACAATGAGAATACAAGTGATTTACCGCTACTAGCTATAGGAGACAGTATATATGCAGACCTGGAGCCAGTAATTTTATGGCCCAGGCAGTTTTACGCCCCTGTTGTTCCTGATGCATCCAGTAAGGGAAGAAGAATAAACGGCGAAATAAGAATATACGGCGAACGACCCCATAGACTTCGGAGAAAAGTGAAGGCAATTAGATGCACTTCCTGATGGCTGAGCATACTGCGCAGGCTTTATGGTTGCCATATTGCTCCAGAACGCCCACCACACACCAGCTTATTGGTGGAGAGAAAATAGATGTCTGTTTAATGTCGCCTGAAGCAAACTCCAGGCACCCGTTAGATATAGAGAGCACATGGAGATCTCCTTCCATCCTCAGAGAAGTAATTGCCAAGAACAAAAAAATAAAACACCTTCAGGGAAAGGTTCTTGGCCTCAGCCAGCTCCAGTGGTTCGAAGGGGTCTTGGCCAGCCTTTCGAGAACCAATGCCAGGTCGCATGTGGGAACCCTGATACGAGCCACAGGTCTCATCTTCCAAGCCCTTTATGGAGGAAACATACAACCAAATGCTGTCTCCCAAGAGGTCCATCACCCTGAGGAGCATGGAAAACCGCAAACAGGGGGAAATGCATACAGTCTCAGCGACGTCTGCACCATGGAATCCAACCCCAACGGGGCTGGATGAGTGAGGGAGAACCACAGTGGACCATGGGTTGTCTCTCAAGATGCGAATAGGTCCACTTCCACTGGGCCGAACCTCTGAGATATTGACAACTTGGGGTTGATTCTCCATTCCCTGGGCCTCATCCCCTGTCTCGACAGGATGTCTGCTCCCTGATTTTGACTACCTGGGATGTATGTTGCTCTTAGAGACAGTTTCCCCTGGGACCACAGGAGGATCTGATGTGCCAGTCTGCATAGAGGGCGAGACCTCAGACCCCCCTGATGGTTTTTATAGGCCACTACCAACAAGTTGTCTGACCTCATAAGGACATGATGACCTTTGAGGTCTGGAAGGAAGCTTCTCGGAGCTTGGAACACCGCAAAACATCTCCTGGCAGTTTATATGCAAGTAGGAATGATGGTCCTGCCATAGGCCTGTCATAAAGTGGCCGTCCATCACCGCGCTCCAGCTCCAGCCTGTGAGGGAGGCGTCTGTCGAAATGGTTTTCCTGCGACATGACGCTCTCAACACTGGATCTTGGGCCAGTAACCCAGCTTTTTTCCACATTGATAGGGAACAAAGGCATCTGTGCATAACCCTGATCATGCAGAACGGGTTCCCCCTCGGGGAGAACCCCTTGGTTTTCAACCTCCACTGGAGGGCCCTCATGTGCATTAGGCCGAATGGATTAATGTTAGACACTGCTGCCATGAGCCCTAACACTCTCTGAAGTGTTCCACAGTTATGGCTTGGCTGAGCTTTATCCTGGACACTGTGGCCAGAATGGATTGATTCGTGCCGGAGAAAATCGTGCCCGCATTGTGACCGAGTCCCACACCACTCCCAGTAACGAGGTTCCCAGGGCTGATGTCAACACACTCTTTTTCGTGTTGAGTCTCAACCCCAAGCTTTGGATGTGGGGGCAAGGACAACATCTCGATGTCGAACCGCCAGCTCTTGTGACTGGGCCAGATTCAGCCAGTCGTCGATATAGTCGATATTCAGACAGTCGTCGGTGCTAGAGCTGCATTCATACATTTGGTAAATGTTCGAAGGGAGAGAGCTAGGCCGAACAGGAGAAGCCGATATTGGTACACTTCTCCCCCAAAAGCGAATCTCAGGAACTACCTGTGAGATTGAAGGGTGAATATGTGGAAGTATGCATCCTTTAGATCTATCCTGACAAACCAATCCTTGGATTGAATTGGCCAGACGGGAACACAGCAACGGATCGTAAGCCTTTCACAATCCTCGCAAGCAGCCCCCTCGAGAGCTGCTCGCGCATGCTGCACTTGTTCTCATCATCTTAAGCCATGTACAATGTCATCACAAATATTTAGTTCCCAAACAGAAAACCTTTGAACTTTATGCAGTTGAGCAAATTCCTCTTCCGAAACAGTAGATGGCGCACGGGATTAATTTAGCGCTAGTCCTCCCGGGAGAAGCAGTGATTGTTTGAAACGCGTTCGTGCTTCCCTTTGCCACAGCGGTGAAAATGAGCGGTGAACAACAGGTGAGTTTCTGTCTTACAGTATCTATAATTTACCTTTTGAGGTTTTCTTTGTCAAATGATTATTACATATCTAGACAGAAATCCGCATTAGTACTCTCTCTAGGATAAGAGAATCTATAAGCTGAAAGCTCCCCCATCATATGTTGTTGTTTTTTTTGTTTGTTTTTTTTTTTTTACATTTTTTTCTACACCAGACTCGTTCAAAATGACTAAATTAATATGTATACACTGAACAAGTCTATTTCTTTCGTTCTCCATAAATGTATGAGAACAATAAATTTAATTGAAAGGAGGATTTAATTTTTCTTTCCAAAATAATAATTTGGGCACTACATACGTCATCGGCAAGTTAAGAAACAATTGTATATTTTGTTTTGTTTCGTTCATTAATTATTTTATTAAATTAACATTTAAGCTCACTGAATTCCAAATAAATAAGTGGTCTGAGACCCTTTCAAAAAGTAGACCAAAAAAAGGTTGTCTGTGGAAGGGTAGCTACAGAGTGAAATATATTTTTATCATGTGTTATGTTATTTTGATTATTCATTTTCATGTTTCTAATGGTACTCAAAGTGTGTTTTAACCAACACACCCGTATCAGCTTCATCTTATTAGCAACAGCTAGCACCTTACAGTCCCCGAGTTACATTTAGAATTTTTAATACAGATTTTGTCAAAATGTCTGCTACCATGTCTTCTATTGTGCAGTACACAATATTTATTCTTCCCTCACTGACAGCATCATGGATAAAGGGATATTTCACATCAATGTGTTTAGATCTAGACTATTCACTGGATTTCTACAATGGCAATGGCACCCTGATTATCACCATATACATCATGGTGCAAGTGTAAACACTAATGTCCATGCCATTTAGAGAGTTGATTTAGGTACATGCTTTCCCGAGTAGTGCTTGCTAGACCAATGTATTCAGCTTTGCAGATCGAAAGTGCCACTGTTGGCTGTTTCTTAGATTTCCATGAAATAGCAGGCACTTGTTCTGTCTCTTGATGTGCTATGCCTATCTTCTACAGAAGATGTCAGAATCACAAGTCAGAATCACTGAATGTTATTAGACTTAAAGTCTTGTCATGTTTTCTTGAAACCGCTCATATTCAGCTGTACCTTTTGGTATCTGATGACATGTTTAACAGCTACTAAGTCATGTGTTTTCAGCTTTGCAAGGGTTTGTGACAGTGTACGGACTATCCAGCTATGTCTGGTCTGGTACAGGTCATAGAGAGCCTAAGTCCCGCCCCTCCGCTTCCGGCTCATGGGACCTTATTTCGGAAAAAATATGAATGGTAGTCAATGGTCAAAATAAGATAGTTTCCCTTGATCCTTCATGTTAAATTTGGACTTCATTATTTCTTTAAAACTGTTGAGCTGATCCTCACTGCTTGCCGCAGTTATCAAATCATCTACCCAGATGATCGATTGTCTCATTTTCAATCTACTTCCTGTACACACAGTAATCAGACTGATTTCTCTCAAAGTTGTTTTGTTCCAAATTATCATTTAAAAGTTCTTACCAGTTTCTTTCAGACTGTTTTAGACCATACAGAGATTTATTCAACTTACTAACTTGTCTCCAATGTAAGATGTCTCTTCAAAACCCTCTGGTTGTTCTAAGTATATGTCTTCCTCTATTGGAGCATGTGTTATTGACATCCATCTGATGAACTAAGAAGTTGTTCTGAGCAGCTATTTGCATTAATGCGCATACTGAGGTGAGATTTGCTGTAGGAGCAATTGTCTCATGGTAGTCTCCCTTTGCAACTTTCTTTAAGGGCATATAACCATCTTCCCCCTACTGTCTTTAGTTTCAACCCTCTGATAGAGTTTTCAATTCAAATGTGTCATTTTCTTTAAGTAAATCTACCTCTTCCTTCGTAGCATATTCCCATCTGGGAGCCTCAGGTGACATAATGGCCTCTCTATAGTTTTTGGGGACTCCACACACTGCCCTGTAACAATAATCAACACTCACATTGTTTGCATCATCTTTGGAGTATGTCAGGTAATCTTGTAAATACTTTGGTGCTCTCTTTTCTCTTATCGAGTGGTAATGTTTTGACTAGCCACGACTGTTGGACCTGAACTGTTTTTAAAGTCTTCTATGTCTATTTTTTCCATAGTTGCATCATGTTCTGACACATCTGTATTGTCTGCATCAATACTCTGTTTCCATCTGGGACCTGATTCTTTGTGCTTTCCTTACTTTGTGGGGGCATCACCACTGTTCTCAGTATCCTGTGTCCTGTAGCCTTGGATTTCTAAGTAATCTTCATTGGTTTGTGTCTGCTGTTCAGACACAATGAATTATCTTCCGAATGAATTTCACCAATCTATGTTTTGACACCTTTGTCTGCGGATTGTATACCAGATATGCTGGGCTATTTTTACTACCCCACAAATATTCCCTTCTAACATCTAGGGTCCAACTTCTTATGATTGTGTTTAGCATTCTGATCCAAAAACCCACATTATAGAAAGGTATGGCTTTCTTCCTGTCAATATGAAGTATGGAGTATTCTTAATTCTATACCCTAAAAGTGTCTGAAATGCATTGCACCCTTGAGAGACTTCCCTCCGTCATGTGCTCTACTTCTATTGGATAGTCCCGTTGCGTTCAACAGATTAATTTGCAATACTCCTCAGTGTTCATTTTCATAAATCATGAAGATGAACAAGAAACTGAGGAGTTATCTGTTTTTGCAAATTAACTCTTTTATTATAAATGTCTTTTATTTGAGAGGTTGTGCAATGTTACAATTGAGTTTAATTAAACATTCATGTTATATATTTTAAATATGGTTGCATTTGTGAATCAATAAATGTAACTGGTTGTGTAAACTTGGCACAATATCTAAATATCGATAAAGGAAATATATCTCTGGCTGCGAGAAATCGATATCGTATCGTGTGGAACAGTCCGATTTACACCCCTAATTTGTAAATTTTATGTTGTGTATGTAATGTGTATCTTTGTTCTTTTCTTTTACTAACAAAGAAAAAAATGTCAACGATTTTTACATTTGACACTTTGGCCTAAATATCTTAAAATTTATATATAAAATTAAAATATATAAAATGTATTTTATAATTGCTTACCTTGTATGGCTTTGTTTTTAAAATACCGGCATTAGTTTACTTGCAAAATAATACAACCAACATGCCATATCGCCCAGCCCTACTTCAAGCTCATGATTTTGACAGTCTTGACAAAGTCTAATGACTCAAAGAAAAGGAAAGGTCTTCCCTCTAGTGGTGTAGTCATGAAAATACATGAATTTAAAAGGTTAACGTCACCTTTCTAAAATGGCCCACATTTTGCGACTTAATTTGTTCATATTTTAAGAATTTATTTATTTGTAAGATTGATGTTATTCCATCTCGCATGTTGTTTTTGTCTGCTCTGCTGTACTAAACAAATATGGGCCTGTATCTCTATCACAGTTGACAGTTTTTATGAAAACATAGGCTACAACTTCCTCCCTTGGTTCCCAAAGGTGTGGTGTCATTTCAGTGTTATTTAATTAATCTAATTTTCCTGGTCCCATTTTTAACCTTCAGTTGTATACTTAAAAAGTATGCTTAATGACTAATTTATATATATATATATATATGTATATATATATATATATATATATATATATATATGAAGAGTTCAGATGCAAAAGCCTCTAAGTGCCATTTGAAATTTTCTTCTAGAATGATCATTTTTATCAAATTTGTATATCTAAGTTCAGTAATTTCACTTAAATGACAGGTAATCCTCTTTGCCATTTAAGTGAAATTACTGAACTTAAATATACAAGCTTGATAAAAATGATCATTCTAGAAGAAAATTTCTAATGGCACTTAGAGGCTTTTGCATCTGAACTCTTCATAATATATATATATACTGTATATACGCGTTCAGTGATGCTGATGACGCAAGACGGTACTGACGTGTTATCAGTGCGCCCAATTTTCGTTTACAGTCTGAGGGAGACGCATCACGCATGCTGTAAACAAAACAATCTTCGCAAACAAGGATTTCGACCCAGAGGAAAACTTGCATGTTTTTGCCCGCCATATTTATTTGAACCCGAATACACGGACGCACCAGATACACGTCAGCAGTGTCTTACGTCATCAGCGTCACTGTCGACTCTTGAATGCGGCTTGACAACAGAACCGGAAGAAAATACAATGCTGAATAAAGTCGTAGTTTTTGTTATTTTTGGACCAAAATGTATTTTCGATGCTTCAAAACATTCTAACTAACCCACTGATGTCACATGGACTACAGTACTGTGATGTCTTTATTTCCTTTCTGGACAAGAACAATATATCGTGTATACATTTTCAATGGAGGGACAGAAAGCTCTCTAAATCTAAATCTAAAATATTTTAAACTGTGTTCCGAAGATGACATAATTTTCATTTTTGGTGAATAACCCTTTAAAATCTCTTTGTGGATATTTTGTATTGATATTGTGATTATGATAAGACAGATAACTAATCCACTTAAAAATACAGCATATTAAAATATATTCTCATATATCTGCATATTTGAAATCAATAAACCTTAGTGAGTGTGCCCTCTGGTGGTAGACGTAAGCCTTCACATAATTTGATGTTTCCTCAGTGGGGTATATTGAGCTTCAGTAGGCCTGCAGTTTGCCCCTGGATTTCATCTCAACTCCTCTTGACGTCTCTCTTTTCCTCCAGTGGAGGGATTAAAGTCGACAGTATATTGATGTGGGCTCTTTATAGGAGAAAGCTGGGAGACTTAGCATTGAAATCGAACAGGCTGAACGCTCTCAAAAAGGATTTCTACCGCATATCTCACCTGTCAATTCTCCTTGCACTGAGAGGAGTTAATTTTTCATCGCAGAGTGTTTGCAAATGGAAAGAGAGCGTTGCTCATTGGGCTGCAATGTGCAAGTGTTCATCTCATTTCATGCTCAGGACCGTAAACAGAAAGAAAATCATTTTTTCGCTTGTCTCG